TGCAAATGCTGCTAGGAAGAAAATGAAGGCAACTTTTTTAAACAGTGCAAAGTTAATATGGCTCCCTAATGTGTTACTGCGGAAATTTAAACTTTTAAGTGATTTGAGTTTTAACGTAACTTTTTTACATTTTTAATACTATTTATAAAATGTTGAAGAGTGTATTTTTGTATCTATGTAGAACAGCAGCAGCAATGTAAGTAGTGGTATAATGACATCCAGCTGGCCCTCCTGGCGGCCACCGTACAGTGTTTCGAGAGGGGTTTCGCTTGAGAAAACTTCGAACCTTTAATATTCGAAGTGTACAGGACGTAGAATTCGAATGCGCGAATGGGTTGCCCCATAAAAGCTTTTGTCATTTATGCTAGCCGTTAGAGATAAGAAAATATATGCATAGATATTTATATGTTTTCGTGGGACGTATGGTGAAAGTTAATTAGTTTAAGAATATTCTATACACCTATAGCGAAAGTACAGAATAAATTGCAGCTACATTTAACTGCGTCCTTCTACTTAATATTCCATAAACTGGACTCTTTATTGTGGCTGATATCTATTCAAGCTGCAGCGTAAATAGTAATCGTTATTCGAGTTTACTGTTTGGGACCTTTACATGACAGGCGCGTTGATGGTGTGAACACCTTCAGCAAAATGCAAAGAAACGTGTGTAGTTGTTACTGCAAATTAAGCGCCCGTCATGTGAACGAGGCCTTAGTCTGAAACAAATATGGAACGGCAAAGTCAAGAAAGGATCTGAGACAGAACTTAAGGAGCCAAATCCAAGCAAGGAGAAACCCAGGGCAGAAAGAATAAACTGAAGACATGCATGCGAACAGTAAGATTTTCTGACGTTCTTGAAAATGTCTTCACGGTTGTTGTTGTTGTAGCAGCACTGCTATGTCCTGGGCTAGATTATTGTCGTCAACCTCAACTAACGGTCAGCTCAAGAAACGTGCTGTTTCTACAGCGTCGAACCGAACGCAGAGGGCTGTTAGTTGAGCGGGTTTGAGTGGGCAAGCGAAGAGGAGCGGCGTGCCGCAACGCGAAAAATTGGTCGAGTATGTCGGGGTCGAGTCTGCATAACTACGATTTTTGTCTGCTACAATATACAGACTTGAGTTGTGAGAGAGTTACGCGGCTCTTTCGTAGCAGTCGTCTACGATGGGTGGGGTTTGACTTCCTAGTACGGCATTCGAGGGGCGAGAGTTTGTGAAGATAGTTAAGTCTATCGTTTTGAAAAATAGTAATATTTTTAATTCGTTCATCAAGTAAAATTTTCTAGCTTCTAAAGTTTATACAACTTGTGGGTATATCGTCGTTTTTAGTCGTTGTATTATGTATGCCAGGATAACGTCCGTGAGTTCATAAATACGACTTCTGTCGTGGTGCTAGGAACTTTTGCTTTCAGAAAGTGTTTGCTTGGATGCTTCCTACGGTAGCTGACGAGCAGAAAATGCTTACTCATCATTAAAAAGGCAACCCGCTTCTGTGTGGAGTGCGGTGCTTGGACAAGTCTGTAGCTTCGACCACTGCGTCCTACAATTAAATATTCGCAGCCGTAAATAAATACTTCAACGCTAACGTTAACTGGTGCTTACTCACTCAATAGACTGTCAATAGGAGTTACCTTTAGACTTTGGAGATTGTGAAACATTTAGATGACCCTTTACCGACGGCTTAAAAGTTAAATATTTTAATAAAAAAAAACCAATAATTTTAGAATATGTATTATGTTTTTAAGCATTCAAATTAAAATTATTGCACTGTTTTGGGATTTTCGAAACTTTTCGATATTTTCTGGAGGGTTATATGTAGCGTTGGGGTCTACTCCAACAGCTTCTCCAGCTTTACCGCCCATTGACCTAATCGTAGAAAACCGTGCTGTAAAATACGCAGATAGATTGGCGGCCATAGAAGAATTTAATTACAGAATGCCACGATTGAGAGGGAGGGATGGCTTAAGGGAATGAAACTTAGGCAAAGATCCCTAAGCATTACCTGACCAGTGCAGCCATTTCAAGCAGAGCAACAAAGCACGTTAGGAGTTTCTCTGATTCAAACGCAGATGAGGCCTTCCCTTTCCTCTGTTACCAGCATCGCGACCGGTTTTGAATACTTTCAGAGCTGGAGCGTTGCTTGATGTTTATTTGGTGCAAAAACAGCGAAACAAATTTTACCCTGTTCTTGCTACGGCTAACAAGGGGCATATCTTTGTGGCTGCTAATCTACAAATAATCGTTATCACTAACCTGGACAGGTGCGGGAGACCAGAGAAAGCTTAGATCATATTGTATGCCGATGTCCAGCACTGTCAAAAACCTGACTGATCAATTCGATAAGCTAGAAGACATTTCAAAAGTAGACATGAAATTACTACGGAAATTCGCAAAAAGCGTTGACAGCCTCTATGATGTCTGCTTAAACGCCGCAAATCGAACTCCAACTGACAATGTTGAGGACCTAGCGGTCTATGTGTGGCTCCAAGTCGGCCATATTAACCTAACCGGATAACGGATTTTTAGGACCTAAAAACCTATAAAAAAGGCAAAATAAAATAACGAAATTGGCTGGAAAAGGCAAAATAAAATAGCGAAAAAGGCAGGAAAAGGCACTAGGTATTGCAAAAAAAGCAAAAAAAGCAAAATAAGGCACTAAAAAAAGACAGTAAATACGAAGAACAATCAAAAAATACATTTATTTTAGAAATGTTTATATTACAAGTAAAAAGAGAAAAACAATGAACTAGTTTCAT